TTATATTCCTGGACATATTCTCTTGGAAAAGTTTAAAGTATCTACCAACTGGCGAGACAGTCATGCTCGTCATCCGTGCCTACATCTTCATTAGCCTTCAGTCTTAAGTTGGTTGGTGAGTCGCGGACATTTATTCTACTTTTGCCTCAAGAAGTCTTTTCCTTTCTTGAAACAAAAAAAGCGTATTTAAACCTATGAAACTTCTAAAACGTTCTAAGATTTAATCTTTTGAAGCCCATTGATCGAATTCGGATGGATTGCGTCAGCTCTCTGCAAAAATTTGACTACTCTTTTGAGAAAAAAAAAATAGTTATTATCTTTTTGTTAATCTGGTAATTAAAAGGAACTAAAAAAAAGGATAATGCGATGCCTTAGAGGGCTCATGATTAAAACGAATGGATTAAAAATCCTCACAAGAGAATCGTAACAGAGAATATTCGCAGGCCCACATTCCCTACATATGCTTATTTTGTTTTTCAGATGCTCCGATTTCATACAAACTTGCTATAGATTCTTAGATCTTACCGGTCCGCTCCAAATTGGGGGTCTACCTGCATTACAGAGTGATTTCCAAGTTGAAAATAAACATTTTGTTGGCTGTATTCAAGATTTGTACGTGGACAATCAACTCGTGGACCTCAACAGGTAAAAGTCTTGAAAGGTTTTTGATAAATTATTTATAAGCTATTCTAAATTTTGAAATATAATGCTTGTTTTTCTTCAACCCACTAGTTATGTGGCGAATAATGGGACAAGGATTGGATGCCCTCAAAAAATTGGTTTCTGTCACTCTTCTCCTTGTAAAAATGGCGGCACCTGTTTTGACGGATGGGGATCCTTTTATTGCACGTGTCCAACGGGGTTCATATCAAAAGATTGCAGTGAAGGTACGAAACATTTTATTCAGGACATTAGTGCGAATATATTTTTTGAAAACCTCTTTGTTTTTTTTCACTCGTATACCATACAGCGTGATTTGAAATTCCAAGAATAAAGATGTTTGTGTGAGCATGAAATCCATTGCATGTGTACATTGATATCTATCCATGCAATGTAGTATTTTCTATGCAATGAGTACTTATAATCTGAATTCGCATATAAAGTCGATTCATCTAAGCCAAATTTCATTTTTAAGAATAAAGTCAGTTTCTTTCTTTCTTCGGATTCAGTTAAGGACTTCACCGAATTTTCTACCGACGCTTTAACAGCTAATTCGGAAAATTCTTACGTTAATGCTGATTCAATAAATTTGTTATTTTGTGAATATTTTCTTGAAAATGAAGTAAATTTCTTTTTCAATTCCTACTATTAGTTCACTCTCTCCCTATATAAACAGTCGAACCTCTAGATTGCGAATTTTTCTATATATCGAACTTTTTCCTGGAACCTTGAACATTTCACGATTTTCTTCGTAAAATAACCTCTCTATAGCGAAGTGCATTTTCTATAGAACGAACTTTTTTTTTGTGATTCATTTTTTTTCTCCCTATTTTTAAAGTATTTCTGAACATTTCAAGTTATTCTCTTTTAACACATTTTATGGTGGTCATAAATCTTGAACTGGTTTTATTAGATCCTAACTAGCCGAGAGCAATAGAGTTCTAGTCGTTTCATCCAAGAAGTGCAACCTTTAACCCCCATTGTCCAGTTCACTAGAAGCATCTTCGATATCCCCTTTCACGCTCAGTAGAGTTGTCCCGTATCCCATGTTCAAGAAACAAAATTATGTATGTTTAATATTACTTGTATGCTTTAAATTAGAGAGAAAATGTTCTTAAAATTCATTAATTTTAATATAAAATTATTTTCTTAACATTGAAAATATAGTGTATTCTTTGACATTCTTTTTTCTTGTTTTCTTTTTTTTTTTTTTTTGATAGGCACAAGATATATAAAATACACATTTATTTTGTTTGAATTTCCATTGCGCTGCAGGACATTGTGTCCCTATAGAGCAGGCATGTCAAACACGCATTTTTCAAGAAAAAGGGGAACTGCAATATTTTTGTGTCCAAAACAAGAATAAAATATTATGCCTGATTTACAAAAACTCAATTTCAGTTTCTAAGGAATGTAACTTTAAAAGGCACTATGACACAAATCATAAAACAAATTATGACCAATATGTTTCAAAATTTCGTGAAGAAAACTAAGAGGATTTGAAATCAACTCTTCGAAATCAATAAAATGTATTCACTAAATTTTCTGAAGACAATGCAGCTGCTGTAAAAGTTAGTTATATGCTATCCCATTTAATAGCAAGCAGATCGAAACCATTTACTGAAGGGGATTTTATTAGTGAATGCTCTTAATCAAAGCAGTGGAATTATGCCCAGTACAAATAAAAAAATTTAAAAGTGTTAGTTTAAGTCGAAATACTGTAGCTAGCAGAGTTGATGAAATAGCCGAAAATTTGAGAGATCAGCATCATTCAACAATATATCAACATTTCAAGCCTACTCGATTGCAATTGATGAAAGTACAGATATTCGAAATATCGCTCAGCTGGCCATTTTTATTCACGGGTGCGATCATAATTTAAAAATAAATGAAGAACTGTTGGAAGTCATTCCTATGCATAATACTACCACTGCAAATGATATTTTTGATGCACTTATGGAAGTTGTAAAAAAGTATAAGTTACTTGGATAAGATGGTTTGTCTTGAAACTGATGACGCACCTACCATGACCGGTATTACCAAAGGAGTTGTTGCAAGATTAAAAGAAACATGCAAACAGATCGGATACAATAATTTTGAACATTTTCATTGCATTTCACCAACAAGTACTGTGCTCCAAAGTTTTAAATATCGGACATGTTTTAAAAATTGTCACAAAAATTTTAAAATATATTCGAGCACATAGACTTAATCATCGTCAATTCACTGCATTTCTGGAATTTCGATCTACGAAATCATACAGAAGTTTGATGGCTTTCGAGTCATAAAGTATTAAACGGTTTTTCACAAACTGCTGGAGGAAATCATAATTTTCTTAAAAACAAAAAAATACGAAAGTGCAGAGTTAAAAGATGGGCAGTGGCTAAAGGACTTAGCCTTCTCAGTTGATATTACAAGTCACCTTCATCAACTTAATCTTAAGCTTCAAGACAAAAATAATCTTGCTACAACACTATTTGATCATATTAAAGCTTTTAAACAAAACTTATTTCTTTGATGAAAACAAATAGAAAAAGAAAACCTGTCTCACTTTTTGTGTGTGTGTGAAAGAGAGATAGCTGACAATATTTATTCATTAAATCTCCTAAATTAAAATTTGCAGAATATGCTCACCAAATTAAATTATTAGCAATAGAATTCGATAGAAGATTTTCTGATTTCAAAAACTGTGAATTATAGTTTCGTTTTTTACTTCCCCTTTATCTATCGACATTGAACTTGTTGATGAAAATTTACAAATGGAATTGATTGAGATCCAATGTGATTCTTTGCTGAAGCAAAAATATCTGGAAGTTTCAATTCCAGATTTTTACACATATTTATCAATAAATCGATTTCCTAAGATGCTATCCTTTGTTAAGCGTATGATAGCTATGTTCGCGGAAGTACTTATTTATACCAGCAATTATTTTATTTAATGAAAAACAACATAGATTCAGAAAGGTCAAGATTAATCGATAGACATTTATCAATTTTAAAGATCGCATCAGCTCAACCCAACTTTGATGATTTGCTTTATGAAAAACATGTTCTTAAAAGTAATATTGGGACGTCCTTGGAAGGTAAATTATATGTGTATACTCATGTGCCTGTGTATGTAAAAAAAATCGCATTTACAAATATAAATAATTATGTGTTAATAACTTTCATATTTTTCAGTCAGGTACTTAACTTTAGGTACAACTTACATAAAGTTGACTGGAATATATATATATATATATATAACTTTTAAAAATTTTGTGTGTAGTGCTTGTTATATTATATATTCTATACAATAAATAGAAATAAAATAAATTTTTTAAAAAAGTTGAATTTTATGATTTAAATATTATTTAAAACTTTTATGAAGATAATGGGCAATATCTAAAAGTTTTAAATGTTTATTTTTAAAAAAAGTATTCATTGTATTGGAAACAATTAAATTTTGTAACCTGCAAGATATATGAGTGCTATAGGTAAAGTAGATTTTCAGAAAATGTTTGCTAATCCACACACACATAAAAACTAATTTTAAGAAAGCCAAAAATAAGGATATTTTTCATCATGATTTAAAAAAAATATATCTTAAAAATAAGTATTTAAAGTCAATAGGATTAGTGTGCTTTATTTTATTACCTTTGTTTTTCTTTTAGTTTTAAATTATTGCTGTTTAGATTTCTTTGTAAGCTTCGGAAACACATGTGTCATCAATGTGATTCACAGTATCTTCCATATAAAAAACACTAATATCTTATACATTAATTTCTTACTACTTTTATACTTCACTTTGGGCACTATCCTTGCATGATATTATAGCATTATTTAGATTAATTTATTAGATAAATATGTAGCTGAAATGTCTTGTTAAATTATAAAAATAAATCTTGTTTTTAAATTGTCTTGCATAGCTGTTTAAAATTAATTTTAAAAACAAAAAGAGAGAGTACAGTGTTCAAAAATTTTTGTCCCTTTAAAAAAAGGGGGAGTAGTATTTCGCTTGTCATATGAACATTCAATTTTCCAGCTTTCTTTTTTTAGAATTATAAAAAATAACACAGCAACAGAATTAGTGAGGTATCCTTTAATTTTTAAGACCAAAATAAAAAAAAAAAGGCAAAATTTGTAGCATTTTAAAGTTTTGGTAACCTTAAATTCTTATATAAATTTTTTTTATTTTCGTTTCTTATATTAAAAAAAACCCTTGACATTGAGTCTAATAAATGCATAACATAATAATTGTACAAATCATATTTATTAATTTTTTCAACATTGAGAACATGCGGCCCCCGACTTAATATAAAATAGGTCATGTGGCCCGCAATATCATATGAGCTCGACATGCCTGCTGTAGCGCAATGGATAGCACGTTGAACTTTTATTTCGAAGGTCGTGGGTTCGAATCCCACCAGTGATGGCCTAATTTCTGAGAATGTGATTTCTTTTTACTATTCTGCTTTATTAGAATTATTAAATTTAATTAATGAATAAATAGTAACACACACAAAAAAAAATAGCCCAACACCCTATATAGAAAGGAAATTGAAAAATTGCAACGAAAATCGTTTTTTATTTTGTCAATATTGTAATTCTGTGCCATATGTATATACATATTTATATTAATTGTAACTATTTTTAATAAAAAATTACTAAAATAAAATTTTTCTTTGTTGTCCTAAGTAGGAATTGACTTAACATTTTATTTTATATTCCTTCCTTACTTTAATTTTGGATCTATTCATTTGTTTGCTCTTGGAACACTTTAGCTCTCAGCAATACGCAATACAATTACACTACTGGCCACCGTAAATGCAACACCAAGAAAGACAAGAAATAGCACAACAAAATTTATTTTGTAGATAACATGTTGACCAAGTATCAAATGATTAAATTTATAGACTTCTGTGAAGTGTGGCTTCTGCCAGAATCAGTAGCCAGAGTAGCCGACATTGTTGGAGATCACCGCTGCCACACGCCTCTGCATTGATTCAAAGAGACTTTGGATGTGTTCTTGGGGTACAACAAACCAAGCAGCTTCCACACGTTGCCAAAGTTGATCTGGTGTGGCAGCTGGGGGTGTAATCTGGGTCAATCGTTGAGCAACCATGGACCACATGTTTTCTATCGGCGAAAGATCCGCAGAACGAGCCGGCCAGGGAAGCAATTCAATCTGGTGATTGACGAAGAACCTTTGGACAATGCGTGCCACGTGTGGTCGCGCATTATCCTGTTGAAATATGGCTGTGGCCAAGCCCTGAAGGTAAGGAAGGACAACTGGCTCCAACACCTCGAAAATGTAGCGCTGGCTGTTTAAAGTACCGGCAATGCGTACTAGAGGAGTGCGAGAGTGATATCCAGTACCGCCCCATACCATACTAGTACCGCCCATACCAGTTGCAAGCCAAGGTTTTTGATAGGAAGATTTTTTACTTTGTTCATGATAACTTTTTGGATAAAACACTTGAAATTAAAATAAAATAATACTCCAAATAGGAAAAAAAAAAATAAAGTAAATGAAGTTTTCAATAGTTCTACTAGGTATCGTTCATCACAATTAAACTACATACATATGGCAAGAAATTACTAGATGCGTTTTAGAGGGAGAGTAACAATTTATGAATCAATCAGCAATAATACGATTACTTATGAAGAATATATTTATAATAGCAAAGTAATATTATTAAATTTATCACTTGATGTATAAAAAAAGAGAGAAGAATATTTAAAAACACATCTTTTATGTTGACTCTTTTTTTTATTGATGATTCAGAAAAGAAAACTCAAAATTTACAATAAACAACAAACAAATGAACCACATTTTGTTAATACTGGGGAACAGTAATGAAGGATGCTCAATGTCTAGTTCCGGAAGTGGAAGCTCTCTGATGGGAAAAATTTTCGCTTCAACAATATTATTCCGATTTAATATAAAAATAAAATTTTACAATCCATTTCGTCTTAACTCTCACTATGGATACATATGTATACGTGAAGTTACTTCACTTAAATTAGATTTTAGGTTGATCCAAAATTTACGTCATACAGTTTTTATTAAGAAATACTTTAATGTGCGGCTGAAAGTAGCGAGATCATCAAGTGTGAAGTAGCATAAAATTCGCTAAGTTACAATAAGATAAAAAAAAGTAGCAAAATTCGCCGAAAGTCGCACGATCTGGCAACACACACTCACTGCGGAATACTCAATAAATGAAGGAGATTTCAGCATCATACACACATAGAGAATTTTCTCACACGTTCAGAAAAAGTCTTTGCCCCATGCTGCCATCTGTAGAACTTAAGCTATACGCAAACTAACTTGCCAATAATATTCTTAATTTTTTCTTCCCTTAAGAAACCATTTTAGTTCGTTTTATTTTTTTCGAGGTAGTTATTAGAAAAAATGTATTCATTAACATTACATAATTTCAATAATACCCAAAAAACATTGGTAAAATATATACATATATATATACATATTTGCGAAAATTAAAATTCAGTCCCCATAATTATGTATTTTTTTACTTTTAATATTTAATTTCAAATTATTTTAATCTAAATTTTTTATTGATTTACTTAATAATAATAGTTTTTCATTTATACGAATATTATAACTAATGTTTCATCTTTCCCCTTGTTTTCTGCTCAATTTAGATAGTAAATTACCAGTTTCACTTTTGTTACAATTTTAATAGCTTAGAATTAATACTAAGATTCGAAAAAGTAAAATCATACTTTAATGTAAACTAAGTATTTAAAACATTTCCTTTTCAATTAAATTTATGTAATTTCAAATTTATAAAATCATTTTCTTTTTCCGTTTTAAGTGACTTGTCTTCTATTGAAACCAACGTGTTAAAAAAACTCAGTAAGAGAGTTATCACATCAAATCAATTTCAAACAGGAAAGCTGCGCAGAGAAAAAAGCCAATGATGAGTGATGCGGAAAATTTTTTGTAATTTTTATTTTAAACAGATATGTATTTTATAGTAGTATAATTATACTGAGTTATAAATATGAATAATTAATTGTTTTTGAGTATTAAGTTTACTAGAGGTTACTACATATTAATTCATTTGTTGGTTTGCAAATCGATTGAAGTCTACTTATTGTCTTATTCGATTGATCTTATAATCCACAGTTTTAGAGTAGGTTTACCCATTGGTTGCTTGGGGCGGGCGCCCAGGGGCCCAGATAAGCTGAACTTAACCGGATCTAAGAGCCCCTCCTTAGTTCGGCAAGTGCCAAGGGGGCCCTTAGATCTTCTGTGCCCAGGGCCCGAAATGAGTTTAAAAATGCACTGCACAGTATGCTTCTGAGTTGTATACACTAAGTGGCCAAATTATTATGACTACCCCTACAAAACAACATTGGACCACCTTTTGGCCTAAATACTTATGATTATTCTTAGCATGGTCTCATTGAGTGGCGTAATGGAGAATATTAGTGCCCCTCTCTGCAAAGTCGGGATCTTAAGGAATTTCAAAACTATAACATAACATAGGCTTTGGGTTCCCTTGAATCCTGCGACGGAGGGTAGCGTGGGTGTATGGCCACTGTGTGGTATGAGAAACATGAGACCATATCCGATGTTTTGCACTTTCAAATGATATCAGATGGGAGGTTACTGGATCCAATTGCCTGATGCCTCGTTCGATCTCACCCCATAAATTCTCAATTGGATTAAGATCTTGTGATTTTTCAGGCTAATTAAGCAAGGTAAAGTGTCTGTCATGCTCTTCGAACTATCTGCAGACACTGCCAGCTGTATGATGCGGTGCTGAAAGAATCCATCCACGGGAGATTACACTATTAACATAACAGGATGCACTACATCTGCGATAATACCCTTAGGCATCCAGATGTTTCTCCACAGGAATCAAAAGACCGTGGCAGTACCAAGAAAGCATCCCCCAAATAATAATATCTTAAAGCTTAAACAACAGCTGAAAGAGTTGGGGCAATGCAGGTGTGGGGTAATGCTTTCGTCCTGTTTTCTCCTTATTCACACTCTATAATCTGAATGGTGTAGTTGAAAATGATTCATCAATCGCACTCTTTTCTAGCCCAACCCTTGTGTTCCTTTGCAAACTAGAGACATCTACTTTAGTTCAAGGCTGATATTAGAGACTTTCAAACAGGTCTTCGGCTGCCATAGCCTATATGGTGTAATGTACGGAGAACAGCTAGTTCAAGGACATTCGCAGATGCTCTCTGATTAAGATTCCCCACAATTTGACATTCGGCTGCTTTTCTGTTGAGCTGGACAACTTTCACAATCCTCTATTCCAATCGAGCCTTCAATAACCTGTAACGATCACAAGCCTGACTTTGAGCCCCGGTTTTCTGCTTAATAATCCACACACACACTTTCTATAAAAATTAACAATTGTTTTTCTCAAACACTTCAAAAGTGTAGCCGTTTGGATGATACTGGTTCCGACGCTTCGAGAACCTACAAACATCCTGCGTTCAGACTCAGTTATATATATATTTCACGCTTTTTTCTCATTTCTTCGCGAGCAAAACAGTGCAGTTAACTATTCCAGAATTCCTATTCAATAGCTATCTCGCCCTCTAGAGGTAACAACGTCAAGTTATGGTCGAAATCCTTAGATATCCTTGGCCACTCAGGGAATTACTTTATTAATCTATATTGCGATCCCATTAGAAACAAATAGTTGGCTGTAAATACATTCAATTTTGAAAGGTTCAAGGAAAAATTTACAACTGATTTTTTTTAATGGAAGAAGCTCGTACTTGAGAAAGAAATTAAAAAAAAAACACCCTTTGATTTTACAATTCTTTTATAATATAATGAATAAAAAGTACATGTTGTTCTAATCAAGATTTTATAAACGGGAAGGAAGCCGTGATTTCCTATCAGTAATCTTCTTGTAAATTTGCAATTTTCCACTTGATTATTGTTGAATCTATTGAAAGTGGTTATTATTACTCTTACTGATCATTTAGGTTTCACTTCCTCAAGTACTGTTGCATTGTGTAGATGGGCGGATGCACGTTCAGTCAGTCGAGACAAAATCTATGCGATGAAGAGAGTGCTCAGGTGTTGTCATTGAAACGAGGTTTAAAATGACACGTCGCTAATAGCCCTGGTGTGGATTTAAAATATGATGTGAATAATCAGTTCAATCAAATTTAGTATTACATCCTCAGCTGAGTCCCTTAGAAATATGCATATTCCTTTTCTTTTTTTATAAGGTTTTTTATCTTTCTTTAGATTTGAAACAGATAATGCGTACAATTATTTTTTTGTTATAAAATACGATTTCAATTCAGAAAATGATTTTTTTTAGAAAAGAGACATAAGAGAGACATTTTTTAGAAATTTTTTAGAAAAGAGACATAATTTTCTTATTTTTTCTCAGGTTTTGAATAAACACGCGAAACAAAAATGGA